TCACAGATTACAAAACTTCTTTTTTCATTTACAATTGGAATTAACAAATTCTGATTTTAGATATTAATTAAACTCTTACCTTCCGATACTTCTTCTTACAACAGCACCATATCCTTCGTGTTGCTGTCTAGCAAAAAGCTTCTTAACAACTAATCTCTTATTATTGTTATTACCAGAAGAAGATTTTTCTGAGATTGGCATCTTTAATCTCTGAGAAAGTTAGTGAAGAATATGTTTTTATTTGTTGAATCTCTCTCATGAAGATGTATTTATAGTAAGGAAAAGAGTTGTTGTATTTACAGTTGGCCAAATTAAGAAGATGATTTATACAAGTCATGGTTTTTAAAGTTATTATTTGGATTGATACGTTAACTATTCTTCTTTTTTTATTAAACTATTCATTTTTTATATAACAAAATTAGCTTCAAAATGAATTGATACGTTAGTGTCAAACAATTTTTGAAAAATTAGCAAGAAGGATTTAGATTTTATTAATATGAATGGTTTGTGTTACGTCATCAATTCATCATCTTCAACCTTTATAATACGTCGCAATAAAGATGTTTGGTTTCGAAATGTTTTCTCGAAAGACAAAAGTGTATATATCACATTGATTTCGTTAATGGACCCCGTGTATATAATCCCAATTATTGCATCCGAAATATTTATATTTTTTCTTGATTCTCTTTTGTATCCACAACTTTTTATATAGTTTGTGGTCCGTCCTTTTGTTATACAGTAGTACAAAATTAAGTTTTTGTGTTAAACTCGAATGATTATTAAATGTTGTTTCCATATATATTTTTTTTGTTCAAAGATTTTTTTTTGTATTAGATTAGATAATCCTGATCAAATGATTATTATAATCTGCTCATTTTGTTGGTTTAGTCCAGATATTAAAAAAACTATGAAATTTGCATTCTTAACCATTATAACACACTCATAATTAACGAATATAAGTTCTACGAAGCTACAACTTATACATCATTCGGTTTTTTAATAACGTTTGACATACATATTTTTCATTGTTGATTCACTATGAGAAGTTTCGTGTGTCGTATGGTTTGGACGTCTCAAAAATTTTTGGTATACTTTAGCTAGAATGTTCTTCGAGATTAAGATCTTTGTTGGTTTGTTGTGTTGACCAATTTGTTTTTACTTAGGTTTATTTGTGGTTGGCTTTTTCATTTCATTGCAATATTGTTGTATTTAGATTCTCATGAGGTGAACTCCAGAAATATCTTGCTCTTTGGCGGCTTAGTTTCTGAAAAATCTTATCGTCCGATGCATTTGTATCCCAATTTGTAGTTGGCGGCTTAGTTTCCGAAAAAGCTTATCGTCCGCTGTATTTGTATCACAATTTGCAGTTGTTATAAAATTAACGAGATGACACCCAAAAATTCATATCTAGTTTGACATAATAATTACATGATCCATTAATCAAGTAGCAATAGCTTAGTGGTAAAAAAAATTAAAGAAAATGTGTAATTTTTTGGATGAATTTGTGCGATAACTAAAAAAAATTATAATTTAAAAAATAATAAATTGGGTAGTGAGAGACAGAAAGAAAAAAATGTTGATTTTGGTTAGCTTTTGTTGTGAAATAGAGAGAAAGAGAATGGGGAAATTCGTATCTTCTTTCATTAATCAAGTATCCTTTATATAAGGATCAATACATGTGATAAAAGGAA